TCCAGCACGTTGTTGCTCCCGTCCTGAAGACCACCATCCACGCTGCTCCCGCTGTCCATGCCGTCCATGTTGCTCCTGCTGTGGTGCCAGTCGTGCACTCCGCTCCTCTGGTCAAGTCCGTGCTGCACACAGCTCCTCTGGCCTACACTCTGCACCATTAGATGGGACTTCACTTCTGACAGCGCTTGATTGTGATACGATTCAATGATTTTTATTTTTGAATAAAGTTTTTTGTTTCACTTAAATGGAATGTTAAGAGTGCTGCCTGCAAATGGGTATCATTGGCTGTCTTATACTCAGAATTCACCGCCTGGCTGTCTTATACAGCTGCAGTCTTATAAAACTGAATATACCGTTGCACACTTTTCGGCATTTCGTGAAATTCAAAACACTTGAAATTCGCTCGCTATAGGAATTATTTGTCAGGGCATTTTATTGCATACAAATAGAACTAAAACATTTTTTTTTGTGATTTTTCATTGTTGCTTAAATAGGGCACGTGAAATTTCAGTTGGCGAAACAATATCCGGACGGGGTACATGTCAGTGTGTGTRTGTCTGTGTGTGAGTCTGTCTATTTGTCTGTCTTTGTGTCTGTCGCGCTTAGCTATTGGCAGCTCTCTTTTACCAGATGCTCTTGAGCAGGATCGGCGAAGGATGCAGCTGGCTGACCGAGACGTGAGAGACGGCGCCGGGCACCACCTGCACGATGCGTGGTGCAATGGCTACTGGTGGTGCGACGACAGGTCCCCAAATGCCGGGTCCCACCAGGGTAGGTCCCAACAGGCTGGGCGAGGGTGCTGGCGCCGGCACAGGCGCAGGAGCGGGTGCAGCAGCCGCCAGGCTCAGCAGGGCAACGAAAACGCACTACAAAGCGAATAGAGTCAGGCTTCGAACTGGACTGGAATATTTCCTAGGCTGAGCCACTTACCAGCTTGAACATTTTAATAGGTTGATAGTTGGCAACGATTTGACATGCCATTGTATCGATCGCTGGCCTATTTATAGTGCATCAGTCGAGTGCATGCTGTGCATGTGTGTGTGTGTAAGTGTGTGTGTCAACGCCTCTGCAGTCCCCATTTGGCTTGGCAACAAACACGGCTCAAACGACACGCGACACTTGATGCAGCTTGCAAACCCTTCCGGGGGCAGGTTCTCAACGTTCTCAACGTTCTCAATGTTCTCGATGTTCTTGTCTTGCTTGACTAGAGGCAACAGGTTATGGACATGGCTGGCTGTGAGGCAGGCGCGGCAGCTGCTGCCCACTTGCGCGCTCGTGCAACGCGGCGTATGCTTGATATCGTTCCGCAAATCATACAAAATACATGACAAAGAAAGACCGACTTGGCCGTATGTGTGTGTGTGTCGGTGTGTGTGTGTGCTGGCCTGCTCTTTGCACTTTTGGCTTGCATAAATTAAGCCAAAGCTGTTGGCAATTGTTGATTAATGCGAGCACTTTGCTACACAACTGTCGCTCAGATTGTCTTGTGCAATATTCAAACATTGCACATCATGCATTTAGCTTAGCTCTTTCACATTATTATTACCAAGCTGAACTCGGGCAATAAAGCAGTCAAATGGTAGACAGCCCAACCTGTTGGCAATCGAAGCCTAGGACGGCTACTTAGCCATAAATATTCATTTTGCATTTTAGTCTAGTCTAAAATCGAGGCAAATTATTATATTTTATTATTAATATAAATATTTCATATATATTCACATATTATCCGCATTTTAATTATAATTTGTATTCATATATGAAATTGCCATAGCTTAAGAAGACCTCGTTGACTCTAATGATCCACCTTTAAATTATCAAGTCCCGGCTTTGTTTCTGGCTAAAAGCCAGCATTTATCTAGCCATTGCCTCGCCCACTCTCTGCCTGCTTTAGCCCCTTTAAATAACATTTGTCACTGCTAAGTTCGCCGCTGACTCGACTTGATTTGATTTTAATTGAGTGAGCTAGGAAATGCTCGCTTAAGTCTTTGGCCGTTCCCACTTTTCACCCACCTGAGCAGCTTTGCAGCTAATTAGCGCAATTTAGCTAAATGCTCGATGATTTGCCTGGACTTATGGGGCGGACGGCTTTAACAGCTGACTGAATTGAATATGAGTTGATTCACGGCTGTTGCATTTGAGCTTATGCAAACAACGATGTGAACTTGAGACACTTATACGTGTGCACAGTCAGTTCGAGAAGAACTTAAAGAGGTCAGTGTTTCGTCATCCACATAGTTTGCTACTCTTTGAACTGCATCGCCTATAGTCAGTCGTAACAGACCTCTTTATCCATCTATCTATCTTTAGCACCATTTGTGGCACTCTGCATACGTTTTGCTAATGCACTCATTTGCATAACACAGAAACTGCATTTGACGCCACACACACATGCACACACACACACACATACACATGGCTCTGGGCAACGTGTCAGCCGTGTCTCTCATAAGCTTGGGAAGCAGCTCACAGCAACGATTCACGCTGCCTCCCACTGGTGTCACATGATAACTCGCTGATTACATGCTAATTATGTCACCTAGGCGCTTTGCTTTGGGCCACCTCAGTCAGCCGCACACAATGGGCTGGCGACGTGCGCGTGCTGAGCTGCGTTCCATGTTTAGGGATAGTTTCTATAAGTGCATATGTTTTCATCATGGTACATCGATTGCAGGTAACTGGAAGCTGCTCAGAGTTTAAGTATCAGTCAGTCAGTTAGTCAAGCATAGCATAAATCTATGTTATATGCATGGCTTAACTGATATTTCTAGAGAATTAATTTTTTCATATATATTCTCAGCTTGACATTGTTTATATTATATATGTATGTATTGCAAGTCCAAGCAATTTCAATCAGTAAAATATAAATTGATATTTATCAATTTTCCGCTATTTTTTACTTCCTGCAATATTATTACTCTATGAGCGCTCTCTTTGAAATAAAAAAAAAAATAGTTAATATTCCTTAACAATTTATTCCAAATATATTTTCAATATTCTCATTCATTAGATTTCAATTTTATAAACATAAATCTAATAACTGCTAATTGTCCATAGTCTCCGTTAACTGCGTGTCACGAAATATCGTCACGTGTCCATCTCTATATCTTACCACATGCGTTAACTTCCCCATAGCTGGCATTGTTTGCGTTGGTAACAGGCTTAAATAGATGCTTTATTGTCTTACGTTCCGGCCAAATGCAAACCAGTTCAATTGCCTAAAGAGCCCAGGAGTCGAGAGCGATTGGATAATAATCAAGCAATCAGGGAAGCTAGACAGATAGATAATCAGTTATGCCGCTTTCCTCCTTGACGTCACTTTGCATATCAATTACGCGGCGTAGACGCAATCAAACGCGACGCAGGCCACAGACAGAAACAAGCAAATGCGACGCGTGCCGTAGAGGGAAAGTGATTATAATAAATATCTATACAAAATATTATAATTAATTATAGCTATTTAGTCTGCTAGGAATATAAACAAAATATGTTTGATATATTATTTAAACTTTTATTTAAAATTTCTCTAATTCATCGAGTTGAAGCTGTAGAACAATTTGCACACACATATACACAGCTGGTCAGCGGGCAGCGGGCAGGTGGCTAAGGTGGGTGGTGGGTGGTTGGTGGTTGGTGGTTCAGCCAGTCGAGTTTAGTGCAGATGATAGTCGTGGAAGCCGTGATGATGATGGAAGTGATAGGGATCGTAGGGATAGGCCTTGATGATGGGCGCTGGATGATAGGTCTTGATGATGGGTGGATGCACCACAGTTTTCACCACAGTCGGCAGCACCACAGGCTTGATGATGTGATGCGGCACACTGTGCACCACCGTGGAGCTCTGGTGCGACACGGCCGCAGGCACATGCACGATCTTGGCCACATGCAGCGGCTCGATGTGGTGGTGCGCGGGATACAGCGGATACTCCGGATAATGGTGGTGGTGGCCATGCAGGTAGCCAGGACGGGCAGCGGCCAAGGCGCACAGCGCAAGCATCGAAATCAGCTGGAAAGGATTACAAGAGTCAATCTCCTTGGATATTCCATTATCCGATCCTCGCCCTTACCAATTTGAGCATGTTGTTGGTATTTGTTATCCTCTTCTGTCTTTGTGTGGGGTGCTCGATGGCTTGCAGCGTGCAACTGATGCCACCATGACACCACGCAGTGGCTTTTATACACTTGGCATCTTGCATCAGCTGCCAGTGGCTACAGCAGCAGCAGCAGCTGCCACTGCTCGACAGCCTCAGCAGCTGCAGATGCTCTCATTGTTTGTCGCGATTTTCAATGCAATGTTTCCGCAGCACCACCTCCCCCACTAAACAGCAGCAGCGGCAGTAGCAGTAGCTCCACCACCACCGGCAACAGCCACTTTGCTATATCCGCGCTGCCGGCTTTTAACCATGCTGCCACTAGCATCCGCAGTTGCAGTTGCAGTTGCAGTTGCAGTTGCTGTTGTTGTTGTTGTTGTTGTTGCAGTTACCTTTGCTTTGGCTGTTGCAGCAGACGCTGTAATTGCTTCGCTTTTTGCTTTGATAACACTGGACTACAAGTGTTTAGTTTATCTAGTGTTTAGTGTATCTGTATCTGTATCTGTATCTGTATCTGTATCTGTATCCGTATCTGTATCTGTATCTGTATCTGTATCTGTATCTGTATCTGTATCTGTATCTGTATCTGTATCTGTATCTGTGTCTGTATCTGTATCTGTATCTGTATCTGTATCTGTATCTGTATCTGTATCTGTATCTGTATCTGTATCTGTATCTGTATCTGTATCTGTATCTGTATCTGTATCTGTATCTGTATCTGTATCTGCTACTCTTTGTCATTTTATTCTTGTGCAGGCTAGTGTAGTCTATTATTATTATTTTTTTTTGGTTTTCTACCTCTGTTTACTTTGGATCTAACAATTCTTCTATTGAACTCTTCGATCTACACTTTCAGATCAGACTCTGATCTATCCTAACTCATGTTTATCCTGAGCTGGTTCTTTTTCTTTGTATCAGTATCTTCAATCCCAGCTCAGCATGCTCAACACCCAGACTACAGCTCAATCAAGAGTGACTGCAGACGATTATTGTTGTCGTTGTTGTTGTTGTTGTTTGACTACAACTATTGCATATCGTAATTTGCCTAGGTACACATAGTTTGTACCTTTGCTTTTGCTCATGTCGCGCCACAAATTGTGCCTTTGGCTCATCGTAGATACCGTTACTAATGGCTGCTGCTGTTGTTGTTGTTGTTGTCATTGTTGAATTGGCTTGCAACACTTGGTGGCTGCTGCTGCTGCTGCTGCTAGCATAATTTATGCCAGTGTTACATTTGCCTGCAACGACCTTGACCAGCCAGCCAAATTGTTGAATTTTTTTTTTTATTTTGTTATTTTTATTTTTGTTTGGTATTTTTCTTTTAGCGCTTTGACGCTTGCAACGGAAATTCACACTCGCCAATTTAATTGTGCAGTTTTTTATTTGTAATCCGTGGAAATCAGTTGCAATTCTCGTTATCTTAATAGACATATATATTATGGCTGAGAATATTGTATCATATGCAGCAAAAAACTAGCTGAACTTTGGTTAACAAGATGTAGAAAACCAAAATAATTTGCTTGTTGATGTTTGAATACACTGTCGATAAATTTGAAATTTTTTAGTCAACTGAGGGGGGTTTTTTTTTTGTATGCATAGGAATTCAAATAAAAGTTATATAGACTTTTTGAAAACAGATAAGCTTCATGTATCAATGTTTGTTGAAATGAAAAGATATTTTATATCACAAGAATTGTGTTATTTATTATACTCATTTTCATATATTATTCTCGGTATAAGCTCTATGATATGCTGCAACGAATCTTGCCTGAAATTATAAAGACAGATTTTTAATCAATGTCATTAAGATTGGCTTAGAAACATATGAATCCGTTTGTTGATCATGTTAAAATTTAAATTAATATCAAGTCTATCCACTATCTTATTACCCTTTCGCTACAATTATCAAACTCTCAGCTCGTGTATAGCAAGATTTGTGACAACAAGTGACACTTGGCGCCCGTTCCGTTCCGCTGCGTCCCTCARCGTSAATGCTCGCTGTTAGGATTGAGTATGCAGCGATGCCTGCATTTGGCTGTGATATTTAGCTTGGCAAACTGGAGCTACACCAGCTACAAAAAGTTCACGAACGCGACATTCAAGGTGCTCCACTCGGCTGGAGGGGAGCTCATTAGAATGCCGCTGCAATTGACAGGCAACAAGCGACAAGTGCGATTGGAGTGTGCAGCTCGACGACGCCAAATGTCAAATGGAGGCAGTCTCCCCCGACCCCACTCACCCACTCACCTACTCACCCACTCTGTCTTTAGCTACGAGATTAATCAGGCTGCAATTGAATATGAAAATATTTGCACAACAATTTACTTCAGGCTTAAGGCCTGGTCAGTTCGCTTGACCCACAGCGAACACACCCGAAACTCATTTTATCTCAACCAGGAAATATTGCATCTCTTGCGCTTTAAATGTGCAAAAATAAAACAGGCTTTGCTGCATGCTGCAATTGGGCTGTTTGCAAGCCATTCGCTTTCGTTTTAGTGGGTTAGTAGTGCAGACGTTGCGCATGCTCAAAAAAAAAATAAAAATAAATGTAATAAAATTAAATAATTTCAATGTTATTGCTATGAAAACAATTTGCACACATCCGCTGACCAGCTAAAAATGTCGTAGTTGATGGACAGAGCTGACCTTAGCACCGGCTAGCAGCACGAACTGCCAAAAGACTTTGCCCACCTGTTGATACTGCTGCTGTTGCTGCTGCTGGGGCTCTTGCTTTATTAAGCATACGCCGCAGTGTCCCCGGCCAAGCGCTGCGTGTCAATGCAATTACGTATCGAACGAAACGACTCGAAGTTGCAAATATTTCCAAATGCACTTTTCATATTATCTCTATGCGAACAATCCACTAACAAAGTGCAGCTGCTGCCTCAAAAAATATAGCATAGTAAGAGTGCTAGAGTTGGGTATAAGCGACCAAATGATACCCTTCAATTTAGAGTTAGTTTAGTGTGTTTGTGAGTTGAGGGAGAGAGAGATAGAGAGATAGTGCTATAAATATAAAGATAGACAGATAGAGAGAGCGGCAGAGAAAGAGAGAGAGAGAGAGATAGTGAGATAGTGAGATAGAGAGATAGATAGTGAGAGAGAGTGAGCGATAGAAAGGCACACAGACACAGAGAACTATAGAAATAGCGAGAGGGTGGTCAATAATGGTGAGGGAAGAAAATTGGCAAATGAGAGTGAGTGAGAAATAGGAACGGAGAGTGAGAAAGCAAGCGACTGAAAGAGAAATAGAAATATAAGCAGAGATAGGGATTAAAACGGAGAGAGAGAGAGAGAAATAGTATGCAGACAAAGGGTGAGATAAGGAGAGAGAGGGAAAGAGAGAGAGAGAGAGAGAGAGCGAGAGCGAGAGAGAGAAAGAATGCAAAAGGAAGTGTGCAGGATATCATGGGAGGAGATATACACATGCAAAGCAAAAATAATGCAGAATAA